ATTTACTGTGTATGCATTGTTCCTTGCGTGTATTTACTATGTGTATGCATTGTTCCTTGCGTGTATTTACTATGTGTATGCATTGTTCCTTGCGTGTATTTACTATGTGTATGCATTGTTCCTTGCGTGTATTTACTATGTGTATGCATTGTTCCTTGCGTGTATTTACTATGTGCATGCATTGTTCCTTGCGTGTATTTACTATGTGTATGCATTGTTCCTTGCGTGTATTTACTATGTGTATGCATTGTTCCTTGTGTGTATTTACTATGTGTATTGAATGCACATTGTGGGTTGCATTTATATAGAAATAATAACTTACACTTGAATATATACTAAATGTTCATGGTATTCTCACAACCTGATTAAACATAGTTGTATCCCAAAATGCCCTTTTTTTTAAAGACTATCACATGATGCTCCCTTGAGAAGTTATTAGTCCATTCGGCATTGGACGGATTGTTTGGCTCGAAACGAGCGATTTATAGTCTGTATGTGTACATCAAGTTATCTGGCTGGTTAGATGCTCTATTGGTACATCAATTTATATGGCTGTCTAGAGGTTGTATTGGTACATCAAGTTATCTGGTTATATAGAGGCTGTGTATCAAGTTATCTGGCTGTTTAAGAGCTGTATTGGTGCATCAAATAATATGGCTCTTTAGAGGCTGTATTGGTTTCAAGTTATCTGGCTGTTTAGAGGCTGTATTGGTACGTCAAGATATCTGGCTGTTTAGAGGTTGTGTTGGTACATCAAGTTATCTGGCTGTTTAGAGGATGTATTGGTACAATAAATTATCTGTATATTTATATGCTGTATTGGCACATCAAGTTATCTGGCTGTTTAAAGACAGCATGTGCAGATCAAGTTATATGAAAATCAAGTTGTCAGTAGGCGCGAAATTTTCGGTTGACCAATGACAGGGGAGTGTTCTTTACATCTCATTACACTTGCATATTAAGAGGCCGCGATCATGACCTTAAAAAATAGCCATCTGCGGCCGATTGGGGATGATGGTGCGGCGGGACCGCGTTACGACTCATCGCATCATCAACAGGTTGCGTTCTAGGTGAGTCAAATTAAGATTCACTTGTCCGTTTTCTTCCTATTCACTGAATCACATGCGTGAATATGCTGATAAGATTATACACACATCATGTACATTGAGAGGACAACTTTTTATGGTCTTAATTTTGTTTCCAAAGGAATTCTTCTGAGAAGTTTCAACAGCTGATTTAGCTACCGCCACCGTTATTTATAAGGTAGACAAGCGTCGATTGGCTGGATGAAGTCATGTGATTGGAACAGCCAAAAATAGAGGTGAAGGCAGTTGGGTGGTAGAAAGGCGAATTATGAAATTCGCTGCAGGCAGAAAACAGTTTCGACCTTATATTCAAAATTCAATTAGAAATCATACATTATTATCACATAACCAAAATGTAATTTTGTATAATAAAATTACTGTAAAACAAGCAATTTTATAAAGATGTACTAAATTATTGCCATTGAATTCGACTGCCTTATAATTATTATGTAATAATTGTATATTAATTCGCTGTTTTGGATCGTAAACTGCGGTCTGTCCTATAGACCCTTGTACACGTGTTACGCCTTCCTCCCGTAAGTCTCATCAACTATATTATTGTGTTTGCCACTTCTTGGCTACCTGCAGATGTTGAAAGTGATACAAGGCGTTAAAAAGTGTTGTATAAGGGAGGTGACTCGGGCGAGAGAAACTGTTCTCAAAATTGTTTAATGTTTGAGTTGCCTTCCTGGTTACCCATGCCGCCATGTAAACAAACAAACCAAGTACTAATAAGAAGATAACAATGCAGGTAAGAGCTGAAGTGAAAGTTGATACATTGAACAATAGGCAATGTACCAGTCAATGTTACGTGTCAATGTAACAGAGACTTTCCCACTATACAGTTACAATATAAGCCAATCTGTCGACTTAGAATAAAAGTTCCACGTCTGGGTGTAGTTCAAACTGTCATATTCATGCCTGTTTGCATAGTGTATAACAAAGAGACAGGTAGTTAACACCAGCTTTATTTAGGCTAATGTGTCATTAATACGTGCTAATACGTGATATTAGCATTAATATCAAATAATGTCGTTGCGGTAATTTAACGAATAAATTAAATGCATGCATGTAAATCTACTTATGAGTGTAGAAATTGAGGAATAACATGGACTCTACCTTTAGTCTTACAACGTAATACGTCGATCCAGATGTCCCTATCATACATATCAGGGTCGATGTCTAACATTTTAGTATTATCCTCTCCTTATGCTCGAGATCAGCATTGCCTTCAAAATGTATAACCATCTTTTAAATATGGTCTTTTATTGTCTATAGTTTGCTATCTGAAAAATGGAATTGTGTTAATTTAAATTACACTATGATAACACAATTTGTTGGTAATAATCTTTATAACTGAGTACATGTATTTCTATCATACCATTTGTTTTCTCTCACATTTTATCTGCTTTTGAATATTATTTTTTTTGGGGGGGGTACTATTGAATTTTTGGAGGGAACTTATTTCTATTGACTTTAGAAAGATCAACACTTACAATTGCATGAGTTTCCATGCTTTAGGTGACTCTTCCAGGATTATATGAATCTCCCAAAGAATAAACAAAGATGATTGTAAGCATATATAAATTTAAACTCTTTAACTTCGATGCACTGTAATTCCAATTTTGTTATGTCCATGAACTTTCAGTTAATATATTATTTGTGCATTTCCTCATAAATTATAAATATGTTATGATCCCATGTTTTTGTAATAGCTTTCAGTAATTATTTTATTTGTGCATTCCCTCAGTAATAATACATATGTTATGATCCCATGTGTTTTATAATAGCTTTCAGTAATTATTTTATTTGTGCATTCCCTCAGTAATAATACATATGTTATGATTCCATGTGTTTTATAATAGCTTTCAGTTAATATTTTATTTGTGATTTCCCTCAGTAATAATACATATGTTATGATCCCATGTGTTTTATAATAGCTTTCAGTAATTATTTTATTTGTGCATTCCCTCAGTAATAATACATATGTTATGATTCCATGTGTTTTATAATAGCTTTCAGTTAATATTTTATTTGTGATTTCCCTCAGTAATAATACATATGTTATGATCCCATGTGTTTTGTAATAGCTTTCAGTTAATATTTTATTTGTGCATTCCCTCAGTAATAATACATATGTTATGATTCCATGTGTTTTATAATAGCTTTCAGTTAATATTTTTTTTGTGCATTCCCTCAGTAATAATACATATGTTATGATTCCATGTGTTTTATAATAGCTTTCAGTTAATATTTTATTTGTGCATTCTCTCAGTAATAATACATATGTTATGATCCCATGTGTTTTATAATAGCTTTCAGTTAATATTTTATTTGTGCATTCTCTCAGTAATAATACATATGTTATGATCACATATGTTTTATAATAGCTTTCAGTTAATATTTTATTTGTGCATTCCCTCAGTAATAATACATATGTTATGATCCCATGTGTTTTATAATAGCTTTCATATCTTAATATGCTGTCCAACATGATCTGTATGCATTCTGTCATATATGTCAGGGATTGTACCATGTTTCAGAATTTGATTTTATCATTTTCTTACATAAAAGTACAGAAAAAAATCAAATTAACAAACAATTAATTTTACAAATGATGAGAATATCTGCTAAAATTGTCAATTCCACCACAAATCCACAAAGTCAATTAAAATCTACAGTTTGTAGAAAGGTCTGCCGGTGTGGTCACCCTGGATATAAATATATAAACTTATACAGGCAAGATGCTAAATAAATATATTGTATACATCGATCATCTCCATTGATATGGTCACCATATTTAGACCAAATACATAAATATATTGTATACATCGATCACCTCCACCAATATCATCACAATATTTAGACCAAATACACACAGTTTCTGAATTTATACCAGTCATGTGATATGTTGGATTTAATTGATGAGAAATCAGGTTTTGTTACTGGTTTTCATAGAATATCCATAATCTTAAATCTTCCTGCTTCTCTTGGTCATCCTCTTCTCTTTATCGCACCTTTTATCTCTTACATTTCTCAAGTGAATGACATTCTATATACCGACCACATGTTTTTCAAGATCTCATAATCAACACCCTTTACAGGGATTTGACTGACTGCAGATATTATTTATCATTGCAAATCCTAATTAAATTTCATCAAGCAAATATGAATTCCTGTTTTTTTGGACAGCCAATCATTTTTCATTTTCAAGAAAGGTCAGGGTTTACTGATGGTTGTGCAAATAGTAATAAATTTTTAAGAACATTGTAATGCCAGACAGAACCATAAAATATTAGTACATCTTTATGACCATTGTAATGTCAACCAGAACCATAAACTTGTCCATGTGAATAGTTTGAGAAGAAGTTAAGGAACTAAAACACAGGTTTTTTAATGGGTTCTAGAATTTAATTTGGTGGGGAAGCTGATAATCCTTATTTGTTTGAAAATCAGTTATTTAGTCTCTGATTATGAAAGAATTGTATTCATCTTACCTTTTTCTTTCTTTCTTTATACTAGTTATTCATTTTTCACAAATTCAATAAGTTCATGGATAAACAATGTACACTTTCCTGCCATGCTGTGTCATTCAATAATTTGTAGGCTATGAAAATCTGATTTGCGATAAAATATAGAATTTGACTAAAAATTATATTTGCTGCTATCAGTGAAATGAGCAACTAATTAATGTTTCTGTGACTGATGTCGTTCAAACCCCAGTTCTTTACCTTTCTTGCCATTTCAAACTAAAGGCTGTTTGAAAACAGTCCCAATTTTCACTGAACATCATGCTGACATATTAATCCAATATTATTTAATAATCAATCCAAATAAACTGATGATTAATTATAAAATTGTGACTGATTTCCAACACTGTTACTTACTAGACTGAAGTCTGTGAAATTAGAAGACTTCTCCAGTGGCCTAGTGGTTAGAGCATCTGCCTCAGATGCAGGAGTTTATGGGTTCAAACCACAGCTGAGTATTACGGAAGGCTTATAAAATGGTACTAGCATCTGCCTTACTAGGCACTCAGCATTAAGAGCTTAGTGTTAAGACTGGTCTGCCTGGTGTCAGGATAAAGTGACAGGGTGGGACATGTTTGCAGCATGATGCCCCAGAGACATTACTATAAACTCAGTGCAGACATCATAGCCATATGACTACAATTGTCAAAGCTACATTAAAAATAAAAAAAAATGCAAAACACTTAAATGATGATAGTCTTTACCATTATATTGCTTCATAATTTGGATATATGAATATTGTAACAAACTTAGTGTAATTTATGCTGTTTTTATGACACCATTTATAGTCTTGTTAGAATGGGGTGTTAGGAAAATATTTGTCAAACAAAGTAATAATCGGTTATTAGGAGCAGGTATGCATAATATTTTGCATCAATTAGATTTGTACAATGGCCAAATTGTATGAATTAAATTTGTACAATGGCCAAATTTCATGAATTAGATTTGTACAATGGCCAAATTTTATGAATTAGATTTGTACAATGGCCAAATATCATTAATTAGATTTGTATAATGGGCACATTTCATGGATTAGATTTGTACAATGGCCAAATTTCATGAATTAGATTTTGTGCAATGACCAAATTTCATGAAATAGATTTGTATAATGGCCAATTTTCATGAATTAGATTTGTGCAATGGCCAAATTTCATGAATTATATGTGTGCAAAGCCAAATTTCATGAATTAGATTTGTATAATGGTCAAATTTCATGAATTAGATTTGTATAATGGCCAAATTTCATGAATTAGATTTGTGCAATGGCCAAATTTCATGAATTATATGTGTGCAAAGCCAAATTTCATGAATTAGATTTGTATAATGGCCAAATTTCATGAATTAGGTTTGTACAGTGGCAAAATTTCATGAATTAGATTTATATAATGGCCAAATTTCATGAATTAGATTTGTGCAATGGCCAAATTTCATGAATTAGATGTGTGCAATGGCCACAAACAAATTTCTTATACAAGGAATTCTCTGAATATTCTCAGGTTTAGTAATTTGGAAAAACTTTCAACATTAGCCATTGGATATGTGGCAGGAAATGCCAATCTAGGACACAGAAAAGCATACTAATAAACCATGCTAATGTTAAGCAAGAATAACCATGCATTGTGAAAGCATAGTCTCTTGAATGTGTGGCTGTTTGTTTCATTGGAGGAAAATTATTCTGGTATTAGCACATTTAAGACTGCTTAGGTTTACAATGACTAGCAACTGCCTTGAGGTCTTTGAAATTATTCTGGTATTAGCACATTTAAGACTGCTTAGGTTTACAATGACTAGCAGCTGCCTTGAGGTCTTTGAAAATAGGGTCAATACTGAATAAAGTAGGGTCAATATTGACCTCAATAGGGTCAATATTGACATCAAAAAAACCTTCACATAGGTGTTCAGCACTCTTTCGCCCAATCAGGTGGGTGCTGTTAAACCCTTGGTATGTTACATTGTGGCTTCATACTGGATATTTTTATTGTAATTTATGAACTATGGCAGTAAAGACAAGGTCAGTATTTTCTCTCAAAGTCATTTTCTTTTTAAAAAGAGAACTTTTTCACCAAATATTATTAAACTTTTGGACAGATGGGAAGGCAGACTTATTCAGCAAAATCTGGAGACACTCACACACACACACACATACCATAAAGATTAAATGGTTGGTGTTTAATAGTGCTATACCCAGTGTGATATTAGAATCATTATTACTGTGTTTGGATAAACTCACTTTGGTGCCTTTAAGGTTCTTCAATCAACCTTCACTATAATCCTTGAATAGGCATGTATCAGCATACACTCAATAGGTTAGTTTACTAGACTTGAAAACAGCCATTCAGTAAGAGATCAAATACATTTCTGTAGTACAGTATAGGGGAACAGATCAATGAATGGATGTTAAGCAACAAAATACCTACTATTATAAAACACCTACCTCTGTAAAATACCATCTGTTATAAAATACTGACTGTAATAAAATACCAACTGATTTTCTTGAGCAATTATTCTGTCATATGTCTCAGTTTGCATTGTCAATCTGACAAACAGAAGAAACATTGCAGGTTAGTGTTAAAATCTTGTATATACTATGACACTTTTTAGCAGATTTTTAATAAAAGATTATGTTCCTAACCTTTGGCAGTGTTTGTGTACCTGTGTATCTATGCAATTAAAATGTAACTGTATCTGGATGTATATAGGTATTTACCATGTTGGATGAATTGAATGTGCAAGTAAAGTGCATACAGATAGTATACCCTGTGAGAACAGAATGGTTCTTATTAGAATTTATGATCATATCCCATAACCAATTTAATAAAAAGAAATAGAAACTTTGAACTCCAAATATAACATATTGTTAGTAATACACTAAGCATTGGCTTAGATGAACAATTGCAGCTTTCATTAGGATTTTTTTTAGGTCTAATTATTTTAAAACTTGGTTTTGCTTTTAATGCAACACAAGTAAGTTATTCAGTGCCAAGGCAATCAGAGTAAAGTTCCTTGCTGAAGAACACACCATGCTGACCCAGGCTAATGTAGTGGTAGGGTTAAAAACATGACCATTTTGGTCTTTAGCATGGTCCATAAATCAGTAAGTCCTTGCAGCTCCTAGAGCTCTTAGTAATCTCACACACATAGGAAGTCCCATTGGGTCTTTTGTTGTTATTGTTGTTGTTGTTATAGGGCTTAAAACCATTTTTCAGCACAAGATAGGCTATACATGGGGGCCAGTATTAATGGTGGAGGAAGAACCCTGGAAAACAACGGGAAGAACCACCGACCCATGAAAAGCTACTGGCAAGCTTTCTCACTTACCCACATTAGCCGAGTCTGGAATCGAACTCACGAAGACAGAGGTGAGATGGCAGTGATCCATAATGGTCAGTGCTTTAGAACACTTGGCCCCAAACCCCTATTGGGTCTATTCTACATTCTTGAGATTTATGTGTATTTACATTCCTGAGCACTGGGTTTATTCTAAATACCAGAGCATTGGGTCTGTTTTTTCTACATTAGATAATTATAATTGTTATAGGTATATTATATAATAATAATTGTTATATTTATTTTAGGTAATAATAATTGTTTTAGGAATTTTAGGTAATAATAATTGGTATAGGTATTTTAGGTAATAATAATTGTTATAGGTACTTTAGGTAATAATAATTGTTATAAGTATTTTAGGTAATAATAATTGTTATAGGTATTTTAGGTAATAATAGTTATAGGTACTTTAGGTAATAATAATTGTTATAGGTATTTTAGGTAATAATAATTGTTATAGGTATTTTAGGTAATAATAATTGTTATAGGTACTTTAGGTAATAATAATTGTTATAGGTATTTTAGGTAATAATAATTGTTATAGGTATTTTAGATAATTATAATTGCTATAGGTATTTTAGGTAATAATAATTGTTTTAGGTATTTTAGGTAATAATAATAATTGTTATAGGTACTTTAGGTAATAATAATTGTTATAGGTATTTTAGGTAATAATAATTGGTATAGGTATTTTAGATAATTATAATTGCATAAGATATTTTAGGTAATAATAATTGTTATAGGTATTTTAGGTAATAATAATTGTTATAGGTATTTTAGGTAATAATAATTGTTATAGGTACTTTAGGTAATAATAATTGTTATAGGTATTTTAGGTAATAATAATTGTTATAGGTATTTTAGGTAATAATATTTGTTATAAGTATTTTTGATAATTATAATTGTTATAGGTAATTTAGGTAATAACAATTGTTTTAGGTATTTTAGGTAATAATAATAATTGTTATAGGTATTTTAGGTAATAAAAAATATTATAGGAATTTTAGATAATTATAATTGTTATAGGCATTTTAGGTAATAATAATTGTTTTAGGTATTTTAGGTAATAATAATAATAATTGTTATAGGTACTTTAGGTAATAATAATTGTTATAGGTATTTTAGGTAATAATAATTGGTATAGGTATTTTAGATAATTATAATTGCATAAGATATTTTAGGTAATAATAATAATTGTTATAGGTACTTTAGGTAATAATAATTGTTATAGGTATTTTAGGTAATAATAATTGGTATAGGTATTTTAGTTAATTATAATTGCATAAGATATTTTAGGTAATAATAATTGTTATAGGTATCTTAGGTAATAATAATTGTTATAGGTACTTTAGGTAATAATAATTGTTATAGGTATTTTAGGTAATAATAATTGGTATAGGTATTTTAGTTAATTATAATTGCATAAGATATTTTAGGTAATAATAATTGTTATAGGTATTTTAGGCAATAATAATTGTTATAGGTATTTTAGGTAATAATAATTGTTATAGGTACTTTAGGTAATAATAATTGTTATAGGTATTTTAGGTAATAATAATTGTTATAGGTATTTTAGGTAATAATAATTGTTATAGGTATTTTAGATAATTATAATTGTTATAGGTATTTTAGGTAATAATAAATGTTTTAGGTATTTTAGGTAATGATAATAATTGTTTTAGGTATTTTAGGTAATAATAATTGTTTTAGGTATTTTAGGTAGTTCTAATTGTTATTGGTACCTAGAGAATACCTGGGTTATTCCTCCACTATATTTACTGGCCACCATGTATAGCCTATGTTGTGCTGAAAAATGGCATTAAACCCAACTACAACAACAAATAGTGCTTGTTTCCACTGTCACTTGTTTCCACTATTACTAGTTTTTACTATTACTAGTTTTTAATATTGCCTTAGTTTGATAAGGAGAAAAAAACTAAAAAGAGAAAACAGATCCTTTCTGCAGTTATCATGGGTAAATGTATGTAACCACTGCTGTGATCATGGGTAAATGTATGTAACCACTGCTGTGATCATGGGTAAATGTATGTAACCACTGCTGTGATCATGGCTAAATGTATGTAACCACTGCTGTGATCATGGCTAAATGTATGTAACCACTGCTGTGATCA